TAAGACAGAGCGCATACTATCGCCAGAAAGATGGGAAGATGGCTGCAAGAGCAAGGAAGAAAAGGCATCTCAGCAGCATCTAATACCGTAAGAGGATGACAGCTAGTCGAAACTCAGTGTGGATAAGCTAACTTTACACGTTGGGAAAAAGGATTTCCTGAACAAAAAACATAAAAAGCAACTCTAAGAAGAGATGGCGCAGTGTCTTTGCTCAATAAATGGGCATGTATTTTCACTAGCCACTAACAGAGGCTCAAACAATGTTCTGAACCCTCGTGAAGCAATACATAAAAGAAATCAAAAAGCTTACAGATCAGCAGCAGCAACCAATGCATGTCTTCCTGCCAAAGTGGTAGGCGAGCCACATCTGCTGATCCAGAAGCCATTCTTTGGAACTCAGCTATACGTTCGCGCAGCAAACTGCAGTGAAGGGTAAGCTGAGGAAGAGAAGAACAACTCAAGCGAAGAGGAACTTACTGGATCATCATGTCCATGTAATCACGAACAGAATAACAAGCCATAGTTCCTAGAGGAGTGAGCAAGTCGTTGAACAGCTACAAAAACAGATTTCCGGAGAAAATATGCAAAAAGAGCTTGAACGAGGAGCTATACCACTCTGTCATCATCATCTTCATCATCATTCTCCGCGATTACAGGCGCACGGCAACCAAGCGGTGGAGCTTGAACACATTCCACAAAGCACTTGATTATCTGTAGATTTGGGCCATTGATAAGTTCAGTATCTGAAAAATGAAGCAGGATAGATTACACATTGATAAATAGCAAGCGCAAAATATGCACGAAAAAACCAAGGTCAAAATAACCGACCAATCATGGTTTCCTCTTCCGGTGACAATTCTAGCCTCCATCTTCCTCTCAACAATAAAGTCCAGGAATCATACAATAAGGCTAACGAATGATGATCATCATGCTCACCCGCACCCTAAACAAAAATAATGAAACTGAAAATGATACAAACAGCAAAGCACTTACGATAGCTTTATGCATGGCCTGCTTGCTAAGATGTTGAATATACTGTGACAGATATAGCAAAAATTGTCTTCTGAGATCGGGTCCTATTCTCATTATCGTTTGTATGGGACGATATTGGAATAAGCGATTAATTATGGTGCAAAAATGATTGATCTCATGTGGTAGTGGACCTGCAGAGTTCAGCTTGTAATTTTTGCAAAAAGGAAAAAGGGATCATAAAACAAGGGGAAAAAGGTCACCTTCAGCAAATAACTCCATCAAGGAGCCTATGTAGAGCTTAACATAATGCTCAGTAAACTCATTTGATGCCATGACTTCACCGGAAAGCCCAGCTAGCTGTACCAAGCATGAAAGTGATCGCAAAGACAGATTTTCATCAGTACGTATCTTTGCATGCACCTAAATTTGAACTTTAGTTTGAAAACGTATAATGTAACACTTGCCTGGAAGAATAGCGTGAAGAACTCATCGTTTTCAAGCAGATCCTTCCAGGAAGCAGGTGGTCGAAAAGAGTTTGTGGTCTGAAGTAGCGGCTAACAGAAACACCGTTTCTTATTTCAAAAAGATTACCTGACAAAGTGAAAACACCCGACGAAAGATTTTCGATGCAAAATTCCAAGATAAAGTAGTCTCGGCAACCTGGAAAAATATGACAAAACTGTTAATTACGCATGTTCTGAAAGAAGTATACCTCCAAAAATTTGTCACAAATTCGACGAGCAAATTCATCAGGTAGAATATCAGATTGTGAGGCAAGCGCGTGAAGCGTTTTCAATGACATCTCCAAAAGGCGTCTTAGACCCGTATCCTGAATATAGGAATGTGCAACTGAGCCTATGTCACATTGGCTCTCATTCCTTGACTACAGTTCCCTATAGGGAAAGGCACGAGCAATACAAAATTT